TTCTGGAGTTGTCCTCTGCCCATCCTGCAGACCCCATCTCAGAGCGGCGCTGGCTGTTTGGGACGTCTCTGTGGGCCTAACCCAGTGGTAGTAGCCCTGCCATGCCACAGCCTTAGTGGCCGGGCAGGCACTGTTTCACCCATCTTCTGCTTTGTTTTGCCTGCTCCCACAGCTCTGTGGCTGTACAGGCCATGAACATTGTGTGCTGGGTAGAGGGAAACAGCCCTCCTGGTCTTCCTCCCTGAGCCAGGGGTTCCTCCACCTCCACTTTTTGATGAATAGCTGCCCTAGCATGCAAAACTAGGAGATTTTCCTGGGGGCTTTCTTAGGCTGGAGGACTTAACGCTTCTGAAGACATTTCTGGAGGAGGTGGAGCATCCCACACCTCACAACATGAGCTCCACAACAGCCAGCCATTGCTCAAGATCCTCCTCTGTCTGCTGCAGCTGGTCTACTTGCCAGACAAGGCCATCCGCCTCTTGATTTATACAGCAGAAGAGAGTGAAGAACAGCCAAGCCACCCGCCCTGCCATTTCACAGCGAGGGGGAGGAATTTTTCTGTCATTTGCTTCCAAGGCTTACGAGGCATTCCCGGGCTCCAAATAGACGATTTCCCAGTCCTCCCAGGCCTTCCTAGGTGCTGAGAAGGTGTCCACAGGTAGCCATGGCAAGACCATCGTCATTTACCAGCCATTTCCCACGGCTCTCTCCACCTTTGGACACCTTTCATAGCCACATGGGACCACTTACCTGAGTGTCCCACCAGCTATGCTAGTTGTTTGCCTGCTCAGGGCACCCCAGGGAGATTTTTGAGTGAGGTCCCAAGGTTAAAGCATACCCGTGTAAGACTTCAGTAACAGCAGCGAGCAGCATGGAGCAGAGCAGAGAGCCAAAGCAAGAGCGGCCTGCATCTTTATTGCGTACTTACACGGGTTGTTGTCATGTGTGTGCATTCTCACATAGTGCTGTAACCAGTGCATGTGTGTTTACCTGTGCTAAGTCATGGGTGGTTACATAACTGTATCCCACTGTGTGCCCGTGCTGACAGGCAGGGTCACGTCCTCAGGTGTCCTTAGACGCCCTGAGCTTTGAAAAGTCTGATTCCCCACACCGTGCAGCTGTTCACACTTACCAGATCTCTGTTAACATTCTCAAGTATTTAAGATGCAGGCTCTATTGTTTGTATAATTATCTGCCTCTATTAATAGAGTTAATGACATGTATCAGTGATAGACAGTCGTGGAAAAAAAAGATACGGAATTGTACCTGAGGGTAAGTGATTCAAACTAGGTAACCCAACACTGCCTTTACTTTCTAGGACCCAGGGGGTTTAGTTGTCTTAAAAATATTACTTTAGAAAGCTATGTTGTCAGAAGGGTAGGCAAATATGGGCTCCATTATCTCCATTGAATACTTTCATAAAAATCCTGCTTGTTCTAGATGTTTCGGATTGAATTAGCTCAGCGTAGTGGTGCATGCCTGTAATCCTGCACTCAGGAGGCTGAGGCAGGCCGTGAGATCGGAGTCAGCCTCAGCTACATGGTGAATTCAAGGTCAGCCTGAATCACAAGGCAAGAGCCTGTCTTAAGAAGAAAAAGAAAACATGACCTGAGCATAGCCTTCTTTCTAGCATGATGGCGGGACAGTGACAGTGTCCAGGAACGTGTCTTTGAAGAAGTGTGGGTGAATGAGGGTCTGTGAGCAGCCTGCCATGCAGTGTAAGTCATAGTGACATGCTGACTTAGGAGAGACCGTGCTGGACGGTAAGCGTGCATGCCTACACCTGATCCTGGTGCGTAACTCCGACCAGTGTGGATACAGGATATTATTAGAACAAGTGTTTGTCCCGTAGTTTAGATTATAAATAACCCTGTTCTAACTCATTTTAAACAATGTGGTATAAATGATGCCAAAAAAGCTGGAACATTTTCTTCTCTCCAAGATCTTCGGTTTGTAAATAAGGCTCTGAAGGCGCTACTAGGCCCTCAACCCGACGTCTTTGAAAGCTGAGAATCCAAGTCTCTTGGGTGCTTTCAGTATTTTAATTTTTAAGAATGTGTTTACCTCCTAAAAGTGTCTACAGTGGGGCTTGCTCTTGGGCCACTTGGCTTGTGTCATGTCATTAGGAGAACAAATCACTGGGCATTGCCTCAGCAGCTATGATTGTTCGAACTCTCCATGCCAGGGAAGTTAGTACAACCTAGGGCCTAATTTAGCCTGATACAGACTTAACAGCACGCGTTTTGTTTTTCAGTAAAAACTTTGACCTAGTGAAATCCTAAGTTCCCCTGCCCCCCACCCCCACGGCTGTTGCGTGTGTTCAGTTTCCTTGCCAGGGGTGGAACCCGGCCTTGGGCAGTTAGGCGGGTGCTCCTCCCAGAGCAGAGCTACATCCCACCCGGAAGGAACCCGCGTGGTCTGAGAGCCACGGACTGGTGGTCTGCAGTCCTAGTGATAGCACTCCGCCCGCATTACAGGCGAAGAGTAAAGCTCGGGTGCGCTAACTTGACAGCACAGCTTGTGAGTAGAACCAATTTAAACCTCTAGGCTGCCTAGCTCTTTTCTGTTATTTTGCTATCTTAAAGGATCTTTCCAATTAATAGGCTTGGATTTTGTAGAAATGTGTTTATACTGCTACATACTGACCCCAAACATTTGAGAAAATCACTTTAGGATTTACCAAGTAGATAATATGGCCTTGTTTTATGTCACCCATTACAGCTTCCTTACAAGCCAGAAAAAACGGAGCCTTCTTCAGTAACTTGTAAATGCCATCCTGATGTTTATAGGAAAACCAGCAGCCCAGAGAGAGTACTTTACTGAATAAAATTTTCACAGTTGAATTTTATTTCTTATGACATATCTCTTAAAGTGCATTTTATAGACTTCTAATTCAGACTAAATTTTTCAGAACTTAACTTTATGATGCTAAGCAGTAGTTTTGTATCAACATATCTGAGAGCACCAGCCATTTATTAAAACTTTAAGGATTAAAGCTGAAAGGATAACAGTACAAAACTACCTAGAGATCATGTATTAACATTTGTGAAAGAGTGGTCCACTTAGAAGTGTACATCAATTCAGATATTTTTAAAATGTGGTTTTCTTTTAAAAAAAAAATGTTTTCTTTGGCTTCTAGGGAGGATGTGAGTAAGTAAACCTTCAGATCTGATTTCCTGGCTTGAGCAATGAGGAGGACAGTCCTGGTGGCCCTCACCTCCCATGGTTTTGAAATCAAAGTCATAGTGCCAGGTATGAGCCAGGCACTGTGCTCAGTACCAGTGTGCAGTGACCACACAGACGGGGCTGCCCAGTGGCCTTGTCAGTGTGGCTGGAGGCTGGTGTGAACCCAGCCAGCCAGTGAGGGCGGGTCTAGGGACCTCTGGACTCTGCTCTGCGGAGAAGGACGGTCCTGTCTGGAGTGAGGGAAGTTTTGCTGGTGAGAGGACAGAGCACACAGTGGCTTCGTATTTTGCGTGTGAACTCAAGGTTGGTAGCTGTCAGGCTTGAGTTTTGCATCCAGTTTGTCCTGACGCCAGACCGCTCCTCTCTGGGACCTCAAGCTTCCCCGCCTCCCTGGCTGACTTCCCCAGCACCCTGCTCTCTCCTGGGGCCTCAGGTCCTTGGGAGCTCAGCCCTTGGCTAGGAGTGGAGCTGGGGTGGGGGAGGCAGATTCTTTTCTTAAGAGATAGGGAAGGTTGAGCCTCCCGGCCCTGTCCTGGAGGCTTGTCCAGGGGGTTCTGGGGACAGTAGGTAGGAACCAGTGCTATGTGTGGCCTCCAGTTTAAAAATGGCCTCTTGGGGCTCCTGGGTGGTGTAGTGGTGCCGCAGTTCCACCTCTTGCTTTTCCCTGTCCAGCACACTCCCGAGAAATGAAGCCGTGCCCACTGCTGCCACAGCTCTGCCCATTCTGCCTGTTCTGCAGACCTTTCCTAGAGTTGCTATGGTCATGCTTGTTCCCGAAAGACTACAAATAAAAGGTTTCCATTCCTTGCAGAGTTTGGAGCCCACTCTCCTGAACAGGGGGAGTACCCCCTCGCCTTTTGAGGCAGGGTGTCTCCCTGTATAGCACAGGATGGCCTTGAACTAGACGTGATCTTCTTGCCTCAGCCTCTCAAGTGCTGGGATTACAGGCATGTGCCACCATGCTCTGCTCTAGGGGAAATATTGCTTAAATGAGAAACTTTTCTGATGGTTTTTGCCTGTACTTCTCAACCTAAACAATTTTGTAAGGGGGGGGCGGGTATTTTTGTTGTTAAAGTTTGTGGAGATAGTATGGACTGGTGGACTGGTACACTGGAGCCCAGTATCTGAAGCCTGAAAAGAAAATCTAAACCTTCATATCTCCAGGTAATTTTAAGATAAATAAATGAATTTAGGCAGAATGTCAGCGTTTTATGTAACAAGATACTTGGTACAGCAAATACCTAATTAGGTCTTGTATCACCAGAACTTAGCAGCTGACTGCTTTTCTCTTCAAATCTTGTTCTCGACAGCCTGTTAACCTGTCGTTCTTGCCCCCTTAAAAGGCACCGCATACCTTTCAGGAGAGGTTTGCAGACCCTGTCCTGTTTTAAAAACCAACTGGCTGTGCTTTAGTGGACATTTTTGAGGTGTTCTGTAGGTACCGGAGTTGACACACGGCTCTTCTGATGGGTTTATCTTTTGCGTGTCCTTGCAGAGGGCCCGCTTGTTAGGAACCTGGTGGGCGGAGTGTTCACTAACTGTTCCCTTCCCAGCCCATCTTTGTCCTCAGGTTGCCTCACGCATTTCTCTGTATTTTTTAGAAGCAGCCAGAAGCGCACACTGTAGGGCCGTGCTCCAGTCCCTTCTCATTATCAGTGTGCTGCTCTTTGCTTTCAAGTTGCCTAAACACAGCTGAGTTGGTACCGAGCCGCGAAAACAGGAGCGCGCTGCCAAGTCGACAGGAAGCCGTGTGGACGAGCGCAGGGCCGGCCAATCAGCGGCGCGCGCTGTTGCTATGTGGCCCGCTCTCTGCCTTTGTGGGAGCGCTGGCCGGCCGAGGGCGCGCAGCAGCTCGCAGCCGCCGGCGCGGCGTCCCGCTCCCGGCCCTGCAGACGTCGGCCGCCAGCAGCTGACAGCGCGGTGACAGCGGAGGGCAGCTTCTCTCCTGCGAGATTCCAGCATGGTTTACAGGGGGAACAAAGGGCCTCCCGGAGAAGGTGTGTAATGAAGTGCTTTCAACGGCTGTATTTTTAAGCTTTCCATTCTCGGTAGCTGTTTACCAGTTGTCGTGCTTGCTTCACATGGGCTTTTAATAAATAGTCCAGGAAAATGATCTTTTTGAACAACATGGGGCTTAAGGAATTTTCTTCAGCTTGGCCCAGCGGTCTCTGAACTGCATTGCTTAAAAAGATTATTAAAATGCTAATCTGAACAATGAGAGGAAGAAAAGAAACCAATGGGATGAAATGTGAACGGAATGAGAAGCCTGGGAAGGGGCTGTGAGCCAGCCAGAGGTGCTAACTGCATGTGTGGCCAGTGGGGTTTCTTGGGTTGTGTTTTGTTTTTTAAACTGTTGAGTGTTTTTAAAATAAGTTATGTAGTTTTAATTAAACTAATCTGGCTTTGACTAGCATCAGGAGCATTTGGCCTGGCGAGGGCTTCCACACAAGGGCGCTAGTAGCGCTTGCTGTCGGAGGCGTCCCAGACGCCCTGCAGACCGCGCAGCAGCCTGTGCTTCCTCGGTCTGCTGCTGGCTCAGCGCGGGTCCGAGGGGGCCGGCGCGCCGGGGCCTGGAAGCCGGGTGCAGGTGCGAGATGCGCGGGCGGGGGCCGCGGGAGTGCGCGGCTGGCTGGCGGAGCGCCGCGGACATGGGACAGTGCTGTTAATTTACGCAAGCTAGCTAATTCCGCGGTGATCACAATTGAGCGGCGTGTTGGGTGCACTTTGCTTCTGTGGGGTCTAGAGAAGCTGGTGTGTCTTAACATATTCTGTGAAAATTTTAAAATATTTAGAAAAACAAGGGATTTCTTGTGCATTTTCTCAAGTACTGGGAAATCAGTTTACATAATTGATTTAATGATTCTTTTGACATTGATTAAAGCAGAGCAGATTAACTATATTGCCCATTTTATGAAGTCAGTGTTGAGCTAATGACCAATTTTTGTTTTCCCTGTTTAGTTACATATAATTAAGCAATTCCTTTTTGATTCACTTAGTGACTTAAGCCTGTCAATAAAGCTAGCGTAAGTTCAGAGAACTCTATTAACTTTGCAGATGTTGTGTTTTGGAGAAGAGTGGTTTTGTTCTTGTCAAGAAGCACCTGATGTCAGGAACTCTTACCAATCAATGTTAGTGTTTGAGTTGTTTCTTTTTTTTTTTTTTTGGGAGTTTTATATTTTTTTTTATTTTTCAACAAATAATACACTGCATATATTCTTCTTAGTGGTTAATTGCTGTACAAGATGCGGACTTGTGATCCTATTTACAAACACCATTAGAACAAATCATTCAATTCATTAAGAGAATACAACTATATATCTATCCCAACCACTTTGAATACACAGATACAAAATGGACATTCATCGGTATACCCCATTTTTTCTAAGTTCCATTATTGAATATTATAGGTGTGTAAACTCAGCAAAATATTCTAAAAGAGTCCAGTAGCCCACAATAGCATTGGGTCTTCTGTTTAACTGGCAATGTCAGAAATTGTTGACCTGAGTCCCCCACAGCTCAACTTAACAGCATGGCTTTATTTCTTATAATTTCGTCTTCATACTTTTCTGCTGGATGGTTAAGACCAAGGTAAAGCAGGACCTATGCAACAAGAGTTGTAGCTTTTGGGTCTGAGAAGGTCAGTGAAATGCCCTCAGGATTTGTCCTGAGATCCTGTACCTCAGATTGTAGAACCTTTGTCAGTGCAGCCATGTGGATGAGTCACGGCCAATGCTTGGCCAATGTGCTCTCTGTGAAAGCCTGAGAGAGTATCTTCGAGAGTTGTTTCTTTGAAATGAACTCAAAATATATCCTTGCTCCAACAACATACATGAATATATTTCTGTTAAGTTAAGCCTTAGAATTGCAGTGCCAATTTACAAAATAAATTGCTCTTAAACACTTAAAATGTTTGGGGGGGGAGGCTTTGTGTTGCTGAACTTTTAAAAAACTGCTATTTCTGAGTTTTTCCATTTGTTAGATGCACCTAAGTTGAACTTGGTAGAAATTATAATAAAACCTACAGCAGAATAAAGGTAGTGGCATTGTTTAGACTTGCCGGCCTCGCAGCGTGGAGCAGTCACTTCCCAAAGAGCGGTTATGTGCTAGGGTGCAGGTATGAGTGTAGGGTGAGAGGAGCCCAGAGTGCAGGAGGAGCCCGCCAGCCCCGTGAGCCCGGCGTAGCTGTATTTGTACACTTGATTTTAGCCAAAAGGCTGAGAAATGAGGCCTGGCCATATTTTTAAAACTCATTCTTCTCTCGAATTACTAATTTTTGGGGGAGAGTTGTTTTGTTTTATTGAGACAAGGGCCCAGTATGTCGTCCAGGCCAGCCTTGAACTGTGTGACCCAGGCTGGCCTCAGACTTGCAACAGTCCTCCTGCCTCAGCCTCCCACGTGTGGGAGTACTGTTGCGCTCCACCACACCAAATGCATTGCTAATTGTTTTCTAATTACAGAATAGAAAAAATCGAAGATTTACTTTCATGTGTTTGTTTTGCTTTTACCTTTGGTTTATTTCACTAGAATTAATAAAGCTTTAAGAGCAGGCTGTTTTCGTGCATCTGCTGCAAGGATGGAGGGACCTGGGATGGGGTGGAGGTTGAGGGCATGTGGTGTCCCGCAGAACCTTGCCGCTGCTCTCAGAAGGGACGTTCTTGGAGAATCACAGGCTCGCCCTGTACCCAGCACCTCGATGTTCTGTGTGGGGGACATCTGGGGGTTCCTTTTGGGACCAGGGCCTCAGGGCGGTTGCAGCCCATCGTCTGGACTGTTGCAGTAGCACTGTGAATGTAGTTCAACTCTGACTTTGTTTGACAATAAAATTTTCCTTGTCTTTTTCTTTGTGAGATCTGTAAATTAGCTACTTATTTATACATGTGGAAAAATACTTTGGAGCTCAAACCAGTGAAATTTTTTGTTGTTGTTTGTTTATGTAGGCTGCTTGAGAAAGAAAAGTAGAAGTCAAATATTTATCACATGCAGTGATTGCTGTAACTGATTTTTTTTTTAAAAACTGAACTTTTAAATTTGAAATTGGTAGGCTATAATATGAAAGTGCTATTTCATTTACAGTTCTAAAAATCTATAAGTTAAAACCTGAGGTATCCGTCCTTGACATCACATGCCACGTCAGCCCCACCCACAGGCGCACTGAGCCGACCACTGAATCTGGGCGTGGTGGTGCACACCTGTAATCCCAGCGCTGGGGCAGCTGATGACGGGAGGATCGCTATGAGTCTGAGCCGCACAGCGAGACCCTGTACCAAATACATTAAAAAAAAACAAAAACGAAGGGAGGGGGTACCAATCTGGACCTCTTTTTATATATTTCTCTGGAATCTTCTAAAAACCGTTACTGCTTCAGTAATTGTCCCCAGTGTGTGTTTCCTGAACTCTTGCCTGGTGTGCGTTGAGTCCTGCGTGGCCTAGTGTCTCTTTGCCGCTCTTACAGAAATGCGGTTGCTTCTTCCTGGCCTCAACCGGGAAAGGTTTGCTTGGCACCCTCCGCAGCTGGGAAGGGATGTTGGGCTTCGTGGCCGGTATTATCTGACCCTGCCTGGCTGTGCTGTGGCCTGGGCTCATGGCCCTCGTGGCCTTCCGCCCACACGCCCCTGGGCAGGCAGCGAAGCTGGAGCTGGCGCCCACCCTTGCCCAGGCCTTCAGAGGGGAGGTGCCCTTGCATGCACTTCATCGCCTTCGCAACAATGTAGTATCTTTCCTTTTATTGTCAGATGTGTCTATAACTAAAAATCAAAGATGAGAGCTACATGAAGAGTGGTGATGTCAATTTGATCTAATTATGTAAGCTGTTGTGAGGAGACTAAAGTGGCAGTGTAAGAGAAAGTGGAATTTATGTCCTTTTTAATTCGCTGGTGCTGGTTTTACTCATTTCAGGGGCTTCTGAACCTCAAAGGAATTGAATGAGAAGTTTTATGATTATCACAGGGGTAGTAAAATTATAAATTACAGAAAGTTGTCAAGATAGGATATAAAAGGTAGTCAAGCCTAAGCCATATTCAGTTCAATCAAAAATTTGGTGACTGCTTAAGCTCTTTAAAAATATTATACATTTAGAAGACATTGCTACGCCCCCCCCCCCCCCGAATTCCCTCCGCTGCTCGGAACGCACTCAGCCGGCATCCTGGCCACTGTCCGCAGCAGCTCTGGGGTCATCCTTCCTGAGGGTCTCTACTGCGCTGTCCGTGCTGCCTCATTGTCCTGAATCAGTGCAGAACATCTCCCTCTGCTGGTCGGTGTGACTTTGGGCAGGAGCCAGACCTCACGTGGTGCCAGATCCAGTGAAGACAGTGATAAGCACAGAAGGTAACTTTTTGTTGCGTTTTGTTTTTAAATTTTAAAACTTTTATTACTACATGTTTTCAGTACATACTGATTACATTTCTTGTGAGAGTACGTACATATGCCTAAGACATATCAATTTTTAAAAATTTTGTGATGATTTTAACAAATTCCCTTACACAGTTGATCAATGAGAGGTAGTCCTAAATGTGAAAAATGTTTAAATCTAGAAATGTATTACAATAAAAGATCTTCCCATTAGTTTCTCCCCGTCCTCTCCCTAACTTTCAACACACATATTTCATCGTTTTTGGCAGTGTCTTTTACTGTAACGTTTGTTTTTGTTTTAACCTTTGATTTTTTGAGGCAGAGTCTTGCTGTACAGCCCAGGCTGGCCTTGAACCTGCACTGGTTCTGCTGCCTGACCTTCCCGAGTGCTGGCATTGATTACAGGCGCGGGCCACCATCCCTGACTTGCAAGTTTTTAAAGATTCAGTCACCAAATCTTCTGACTACCATTTGTATGTAGGTCAGATTTTGCTGGAAATGTTCTCTAGAGACTATGTTCTGTCTTTTAACGTATAATATTTTAAAAGATTTAAGCAATCACCATATTTTTATTGAATTGCCTGTGGCTGCAACCTGTGTATTTGAGGGAAATCATGCCATCAGTTATCAAAGTCCTGTTCTGTCATTT